TTTGCAAAGCCCATCTTCAAAGGCTTCAGCAAGAGCCCCTCGGCCGTGTGAGGGCAGACACTCTTTTGCAGCCAACCTGGACTCATTTCCTGGGACTGCAGTACAAGGTGCAACGCTGTTCTCATTCCGGCACAACTTGACATGCCAAGCATGTGCCTTCCGTCTCTCTGCTGCTCAGTGGCTTGGGAGATGGGGAGCTCCCTTGTTCCTTGAGCTATCAGATGCACTTGATTTGCCTGGAAACGTCTTGCAGTAAAGTCAAACAAAGGTGGTCATGCTGAAAATAAGTCTCTGAAACACCGATTATGGATTAATCAAATGTTGCAGCAGTTGGTCACCCTGCTAAAATCCTGGGAAATCAGCTGGAAAAGGATGGGAGGGAGACCGTACAGCGATTCCCGTCATAATAACGCACCCCAGAAGGAACATACACTGTATTTTTCTGTTTGCTTTGGCTCTGTGCCATCCAGTTTGGATGGCAGCTGATGTATGGATAGGACAGGAGGTTAATGCATGCATGACTTTGTCTACCACTTGGATTATGGGTATTTCCAAATACAGGTTTTGCCATGCTATCACCCTGCCTCATGTATAGGATTTGTGGTTGTTGTAGTTGTTGTTGTTATGTGCCGTCAAGTTGTCTTCCCTACAAATGACAGTCCTGCTCAGCTCTTGGAAGTTCAAGGCTGTGGCTTCCATTATGGAGTCAATCCATGCCATAATCTTCCCTTTCATCTTCCACTTCTAACTTTTCCTAGCATGACTGGCTTCTTCAGTGAGACTTGCCTTCTCATGACAGGCTCAGTTTTGTCATTTTTTCCAAGGAAAGTTCCAGCTTGATTTCATCAAGGAACTACTTGTTTGTCTTTCTGTCAGTCCAGGGCATTTGCAAAGCTCTCTTCCAGGACCATGTTTTGAACACATCAATTTTCTTCCTGTCAGCTTTCTTCGGTGTCCAGCTTTCATACCCATATATTGTGAAAAGGAATACAATAGCATGGATGATCTGGCCTTGGTCTCCAGCAAAATGTCCTTACCTTTGACAATCATTTATAGTTTCTTCATTTCTGTCCCTCCAGGTCTCAGTAGTCCTCAAATTTCTTGGCTGCAATCTCCCTTTGAATCAATGAGTGGGGCTGGTTAAAGTAATAATAGACCAAAATTACCAAAACAAACAAGCAAATAAAGAATACATCAAGGAAAGTATTAAAGCCATATGCTGTTGAACAACAAAAGCTTCAAGGAGCCAGCAGTAACATTAGTTATCAGATCAGCAGGGTAAAGATTAAATGTCTGCTGGAAAAGGAAGGTTTCAACTTTCAATCTAAATATACATAGTGACAAACTCAGGTGAATCTCTTTTGGAAGGGCATCCAAAGTGGTGGTGGTGAAGGCCTTTTACGTGGAAGCAAGCTGCAGAAGATGAGCTTCAAAACTGGACAGAATGATGTGCTCTTCAACTCATAATTCTTCCATATTCCCCACTGCTTCTTTTCCCCTTTCTCTTATCACAGACAGAACAGCTGCATCACATCTTCTCATTGGTACTGCTCCATCTGGAAATGCCCCAAGCTTTTCTACACAAGACATTTATTGTGAATTTGTCATTCTCTGCTCATGGTTATCAACAGTTCCCTTAGATAAAGACCCCCCCCCACACACACACACAACCCAGTTGTGTTTCTGTTTCTAAGCAGCTGTTCTGGTGTGTATGTGTGTGTGCACACATGTCTGTGCATATGCAAATGTGTATTTGTTTTTGGAGTAGAAAAAATGGGGAGCTATTTCTGATGGCAGAAAGAGTACACATTTTCTACTCGTGTATCTGTGCTCTCTCACAGTGCCACCTACAAATTAGGAAGTTGAAAGCAGAAACAAGAGTGCTGTGCATCCTGCTAGGATCTGAATTCTGTGACAAAACCAGACTCAGTGTAGTGGATTAACAGCCTTGTGTAGAAGGGTATGCCTGAGAGTTCATGATGCAACCAGCTCACTGAAGTTGATCATCTCTTGACATGGTCCTGGATGGGAGACCTTCCGTATGTTGCCTTTAGTTCATGGCAGAAGAAAGGTGAGAATATTAACATACCACATAAAGATATAAATGAATGCATCCTTTTATTGTGGAAGTGGGGTTGGCTCAGCCATTATATTCAGTATGCTCCTGGGGTCCTAACTTAGCACAATTATCCAAGTCTGTTTCTATTTCAGTGGTCATGACTCACTTTGGGGTAGGATAAGGCTAGTTAATGGGTGGCTCAGTTCTCAGCCATGTCTGCTGAACTGAAAGAAAGGATGGGTGATTCCTGGTCTGAGCAGAAAGAGCTCTCTGTGTATCTTCCTTGTGCGAGATCTAGCTGCATTTCATAAGCTTTTGTAGAGCTCTCTATGATTTGAAACTTTGCAGCACTGCGAATGTCCCATTGTAACAGAAAGAGAAAAAGCAAAAATTGGGAAGCAACTCATTCTCCAATGTATAGAATGACAGCTATCTGAATAAAGGGCACTCAATCATATACCACACTCCAGCTCCTGCCATGTTGCAACAGGAAAGCAATAAATGGGTTCTGCCTGCAAACAGGAACTTTTCGATTAACGTGGCAAAGGATTTTTGCTGAATGTGTATTTCTTGTGAGTACTCCGTACAGGAGGATCTTCTCTACGGCAGGGCATTGCTGGATCCTATCATGCTATATTGGGTGCCTGTGTGAGACCTCACACTTTCAGCTGGTTATGGAAAACACGGTGCCTCTGCAGTGTTCAAGAGGGTGGAGGCAACCCTGCTATGCTCTCTGGCTATGACTGCCTGGCTGAGAGGGTAGGCAGGAGAGAAGACAGGCTATTGCTGTGAAAAAAGCAAGGCCTTGGGCTGTATTTCAGCACTAGCATTTTTCCTGGAATGCAACATTGCAATATTCTCCAGGGAAGGAAACAACAGCATTGGGGATGGTGGGAGTTGTAGTGCAATGCAACCACACGCCTATGCCAACTGTAAGGCACCCTTCTGTGGACAAAGAAGCCTAGCTGCGGTATTTACACAAAACACAATAATCACACATGTTAATGGGCAGTGTGCTAATGAATACAGCGTTGTTCTGTTACGCACAAATGCTCTCCAGGGAGGAGTTGGGAAAGGGACGTGTGCAGGGAAATGACCATTTACGTATTTATGGCTCCTTTGTTTTTGTGCAGGTGTTATAGCCTGGATAGCTATGCACAGTTGCAAAGGGGTAGAAGAGAGATATTTTTAAACAGGTGTGTGTGTGTGTGTGGGGGAATGACATCTCCTCTTCGCTCCTCACAAAAAGTCATGGAGAAGGAGAAGGTGATTGCTGTTTGCTTCCCCATTCTCCATCTCCAGGGCATGAAGCCACTGCAACCACAAAAAGAAAGTATGTGCAACCCCCTCTTATGCAGACTTTCTCATAGGTTGGCAGCATTGAAGTCAATGGGATTTACTTGCAAGGCCATTCATGATCATCTGATTTACTTCTGAGGACACCTGGCAGCACCATCATCAGAATAACTACATTACATTTATACCCCGCCTTTTTTCTTCTGGTGAGGAACCAAGGCAGCTTGCATAGCACAACCACAGCCCTGTGAGGTAGGTGAGGCTGTGTGCTGAGTGCCAGTGACTGGCCCAGAGTCGCCCAGAGTGCTTCATGGTTGAAGGGAGGCTAGAACCAGCTCTCCCAGGCCCTCGGCCCAGCACTGGCTCCACCACACTGCCGTGTCTCTCTTTAGCTGCTTATTTCTGGAGCAAGAGGACAAAGGAAGGGGAAGGCTTCAAAGAGGCTTGAAAGGACACGGAAAGCTTTATTTTTAGGGAGTAGGGGGCATTTGCATGTTGGAGAGAGAGGGAACACCTGGGGGCCACTGGGTGAAGGAGGCGGGAAGATTGAAAGATCTTTGAGTTGCTGCTCTTGGCTAAAGCTCTGACAGGATGCTCCCCGCCACCCTGGCACTAGGGCCCACCAGCCGACTGAAAGCACTCATCCTGGCCCCACAGCGGTACTGCAAGTTCAGCACACAGTGGGAGGCATCCTGGGAGAAAATGGCAATGTATAAAAAGGCGCAATGTAGCGATGTAGATGGAGAAATCCAGGTTCTGTGGGCAGAAAGGGCTCAAGGGGGCGGTGGAGTGGGCGTCGCGTGACATCAGGGATCGCCATGGCGACAAATATGGCCAGCGCAGAGAGCCCCACAGTCGGCACAGGAAGCTGCCGAAGTAGCCCCACAGGCCTTGCTCTGACTTGGCCCGTCATCCGCAGGCCACTCACCCCCACCCCCCCGCGCTTCTCTCCGCTCCGTGTCCTGCCGGATCTTTCTTCGGAGCGCACGTGCTTCACCCTGCACAGTTGCACAGTCTTTCAGGAAAAAACAAAGTACCTGTCCAGAGCCAGTGCCAACGTGGGCCAAACAGCCTGCGAAAGTGCAATGAAGCTCTCATCTGTCAGCCTCAGATATGAATTTAAATGAAATCCCATTTTGCTGGTCTCTCCCTTTTGATTTATTGGCAGATGCCTCTTAGGCCTGAAGCCTTGTTAAATGTTGAGCAAACGCTTCACTGACCAGCTGTTCCTATTAAGTCAAAAGAGTGCTGCAGCGCAGGGTCAATTTCCCTCACTTTTGATGACTCTTGCATGTCATTTCTTGGGCTGCTTTTGCATTTGGGGCATTATCCACCCAACAGCACCTGGGAACTGGTTAATTTGAATAAAGTATAAGCCTCCCATTCCTTTCACCTCTTGGGAGTTGGTTTTATGCTGCAAATCAACACAACCTCTAATAGGTTTCCTGGTGGCAATGCAGCAGCGTCATTTCCTAATTTAAGCATTTGGGTGAGTTATTAAATGTTGTTGACTATGAACTAGTCCGTTATTATTCAGATGAGTGTAAAAAAAAACTTTCAAAAAGTGCTGCTCTTTAGCATGTTTTGGTTCAGAAATCAAGATTTGTTTTTGTGTCTTGCAGTCGCAGAAGACTGAGACTGGTATTTAACATTCAGAAGAGAGCTGATGTTTTGAACAAACAAGAGGCTGCTTCAGGCTCCGATTAATGATTCTGGGGCTCATGAGTCATTGTGCTCAAGTCGTGGCGATGGATGCTTCTACTCTGCCTTGCAGGAGGGAATCAGAGGCTGCACTCTGACCTGACATGCACACAGTTCAAGTGCCTCTTTCTTGCCAGGTGAATAGGGCAACTGCCTCCCCACCGCCATGCGGTCCAGGTATTTCAGACTGTAACTCTGACCATCCCTCTGAACAGTTGGCTGAGGTTGAGGTGAGCTGCGGTCAGAACATCTAGAGGGCACAGCATTCGGGGAAGGCTGATGCATGCCAATGAGGGCTCCTTTTCTGCAGTGTTGGAGAGACGAAGTCAGCGTTGGCTCCATGGGCAAAAGCCATGGCCCCCTGTGGCACCTAGAATGCTGGCTGCTTTGGTGTGATATGAGGAGCTTAGATACAGATGCTTTCTTGATTGTCCTGCCACAGGCAAACAATGCAGGTCAGAGCTGCAGCCCAGTGGCAGAGTATGAGCTTTGCATGGAGAAGGCTGCTGGTTCTCTTCCCACATCTCCAGGAAAGAATCCTGCCAGAAACCGTGGAAAGCTGCTGGTCAGGGTTGATGATGCGAGGCTGGATAGAAGATGGTGTGGCTCTGTAGAAGGTAGCTTTTGGTGTTCCCATGACTGTTCTTAAGCAGCTAGGAAGGGCCCTCCCAGATGAGAGCAAAGGCCCTTCTGGTCTGGCATCCTCTTTCCCACAGTGGCAGTGGCCCTCTCCTACCACTGCTATTCAGTGGCACATGGCCAGTGAATCTGGGTTGCCTTCACTGTCCATGATCGATTCACCATGCACAGCTCTGATAGCTTTTAAAACGATCTAAGTGGGTGACCATCACCACATCTTATGGCGGCCAATGTCATAAATTAATGATGCACTCTTTGAAGAAATACTCTTTGTCCTGAATCTGTGGCCAATCAGGTTTAGTCTAAAAAAATAAAAACATGTACTGTGCCCCTCATTACATGAGATTCCAGGGGGATGCATGTAGACATTTTCCAGGTTGGTGGCATGTTAGTCTGTTGAACCAAAACAATTAGTCATCTGACTTTTAGAATATTTAACCAAATTATTATGTGTGGACAGTAGTCCATGGAAGATGATGCAATAAATTAGTTCATCTGAAAAGATGCCACAAGGATATGAATAGTGGTTGTTTTTATTATAAATAGTGCTTTAAAAACCCTAAATGGATAAAATTAATATGCAACAGCCATAATAAAAGGCAGCTACAAAAATGTCAATTACAGTTCCACTTATGAAGACAGACTGATAGAACCTTTGCCATCCCACTCTGTCACTGGGAAATGTAGGGCATTTGTCTAAACCTGCATAGGATCATGCCTTAACACTTATAGGTAAAAGATTTTACACAGTGAGCTGAAAACTCCATGTGTGTTGACATGAAGAAGACATCAAATTTGATTCCCAGGCCTATCACTCCTACTTATTCCTGCTCCAGGAGAGGTATTATTGAGCTAAGCTCACCACCTTCTTTTTAAGTTTAAGAGAGTTGCAAATTGACTGTAGAATCCCAAAGATCTCCTTATCTTACAACTTCCATTTCTCTCTTTACAGCTTTGGTAGATCTGAAGAACTTTATCTATTAAAACAGGAATGATATTATTAAACATTAGCATGTAAAAATGCAGCACATTCTAATCTCTCTCCCCTTCAGCTCTCAGGTGTTATAAATGTTGGTCAAAGGCTATCAGGAATTTCTTGGGCTTCCTGCTGCCACCATTTCACTTGATACGTGCTTTTGAGATGCGTGTGCTATCTTCATACCTCTTCACTCCATGGACTGAGCTGCTTACTGATGTGAGAAGTTTAAAGCAAATGATCTGATGAGATGCATCTGACTTTGAGCAAAGGAACTGACTTCATAACTCAGGCTGCTGAGCATTATTGCGGATTTTATTTAGGGATACAGCAAGGGTGCTCAGGGTGCCAAGAGCCACAGACCTTCAGTGCCCTTCCTTGCTTTCCTCAAGAATCCCTGCCATAAACCCCATTACAAAAGCTGCCATTTATTTTCCCAAGTGTGTAACATTTTCTTCATTCCCTTTTGGCCTCTGTCTCTGTAACCAGCATCTCACAGACCATGTTCTGGATTCCTCCCATGCAGCCCCTGACGTCTCCAGAATAGTTCTCAGGATTAAGCTTCGCCTCCTCCTTGGACAGCTTCCCTGATCACCACCACAGCTCCTCTATACATCCCATCGATCTGAGTGTGATTTCCAGTTTGATGGGAGTTACTTTCAGATTGTCCCTGTAAGGTTTTTTTTTTGGGGTCAGTGGGTAGGTGACCCTTTGGTGTCCTCCTTCCTGTCCTGCAGGAAATACTGAGAATTCATCAAGGGTTCCTACAAAACCACAATCCCTTAACGCAGATCAACCATGCCCTCATTCCTTCTTTGCACTCCGAGTAATGTTGCTTGGAGACTGGAAATAAAGGTTCTGTATTTTACCTCTTTTGACAGGGCAGCCTTATCAGATCGAAGGCTGAGCAGCAAAACCCACCGCTGACAACATTCTCCAGCCTTCATATCGGTGTGCTGTCAAAATTGCTGTAACAAAAGCTACTGAGATGGACAAGAAATACTGCTGTTAGAAGCCTGAAACACTCTTGGTAAGTGCCTCTCCTGGCACTAAAGAACCACAATAATGCTCCATCAACCACCTTTTCACAATACCCCAAATCTGCTGCCTGAAATGGTGGCCTCACTTGCTCTAATGGGAGGGTAAGCACTTCGGATTTTGAAAGAGTCACCTAATGTCCTTGCTGCTAGTTGGCTGTGATATTTATAAGCTGTTGCCTATCAGATACTTGATACAGAGGGAAACGTGGATGATTCATGTGCAGAAGCATTTGTCTGCGCTCTCCCATGGGTCAAAGCTTTTTATTTAAGCTCATCTGTCACCCGCTCCCATGGCTTTCACTCTTGAGGTTGAATATCGATTCCTGACACTGCTTGTTTTGCCCAGGGGGTTGAGCTTCCCTCGGGGTTCAGTCCCTGTGGACCAGATCTGCACAACTGGTCTGCAGTTGCATGGGCAGCTGGGATGGAATCTAGAATACCCAGGACAGACAGACTGCTTTTAAAGGGTGCCTTAGCAATTTACTTTGCTCTGAATTCCTCAGACTTTCTCCTGTTTCTCCTTTTCTACTTGCTGGTTTGCTGTACTTCAATGGCTCAGCCTCAAGGCTACATGGGGAGATGGCCCAAAAGTGATAAACGTAATTATAAATGTGAGAGAGCTAAAAGAGGATACTTTTTTCACATTTTAATGACATGGCTAATAAAACCCTTTCCACTATGTAATTTTCATTTTGAAGGGTGTTCATGTTCCGCTAGACAAGTTTGAAAAAGGTGGGGTGAAGGAGCACTGCGAACAGAGGAAATATTTGCACCTCGGGAGGTTGCATGGAGAGAAAGAAGGAATCGAGTGCACAAAAGAGGGCTTTGTATTTAGCTTCTAGGACTGGGTCTGTGCAATTTGATTGCAACGCTGGATCTGAAAGCAGGTGCATAGTACCTAAGAAATTGCTTAATACTGTCAAGCATGATAGCACCAGTCACCTCTTTGGAGTGGTAAGTCTGAACTGAAGCACTTTTTACACCCTGGTGGTCATAGCTGTCCTGGATGCCATCCAAAACGTGATTGCTCATAAGTCATGGGAACATAGCTAGTCTGCAATGAGCAAATGGGTTCAGATTGGTTGAGAAACAAGCAGGGGCCAAGGTGACATTGCAGGTGTCCTAAAAGCAGGGGAAGATGCTCTTCATTCCACCCCCCCAAAAAAAAAAAAAAAAAAAAACAGCAGGGGAAGATGCTCTGAAAAAAAGAAAGAGATTCTCACCCTGAACCTGTGCTGGGAGAACATTAATCTCACTCCATTCCATATGAGCTGGGAGCAGAGAAGAAATGAAACCGGCCCTTTGTGCTCTTTCTCCACCTCACAATGGGACATACAAAGCAGATCATTGTTCTTTGTTTTAGAACAATGGAGAACCAAGCCAGTGGCCCAGCACCAATGATGGTCAAATCTGCAGAAGTTCTCAAGCCTTTTGAAACTGTCCAAGAGTTTTGCTAAATTGTTCTTGAATCAGGTTCCAACTGGTTAATGAGCGGCAGGTGGAGCTGAGGCACTCTCAACAGGAGAGCTTGCCCAGTATGTGTGAGAGACTTATTCTCCACAAGAACACAGTGGATTCCAAGACCCATTGGATGGATCTTCCTTAGAATATCAGGAAAACCCTGCTGGATTGCTGAGGCCAAAGACTTATCTAATTGCAACATCCTGTTCTTCACAATGGCCAACAAATGCCTTTTGAGAGGCCCACAAGCAGGTTGAGAAATGTTTGTTTCTTCACTAAATTTCTATGCTGTCTGGACAGTTCAGAAAAAATTAAGCCATAAAATATGACATGATACAAAAAATATAAAACCTTTAAAAGTTTAAAGCTGAATACAATCTGAGTAAAGACTAACAGCTGGCTAGGTATCGAAAAACATAACAACACAATGGTAACACAGTTGTAAACACAAAACTGAAGAACTCAACAGGACCAAAAGGATTGGAAAGGAAAATAGAAAAGTGCTTTACCTGGCATCAAAAAGACCACAAGGTAGGTGCTAGGTGAGTCTCTCTGGGAGACCATTCTACAATGGGGTACCACCACCCAAATTTAAAATGACTTTACTCTCAGTGAATTCCATTGCAGAAGGGGCTAGGATTAAGGGGCCTTGTTTCAATGATATTGCAGGCCTGAATTCAGGCCATCTTGATTTCAGGTGGAGGAAATCCCCTACAGTGTGGGACCATATTTTAGTACAAACTGTGTGGGACAAAATAGGAAAACTACCAGAGTGAAGGCCTTCTCTAGGTGCATGTGTAAACAGTGTTTTCCCTCCTTCCACGTGGTCTCCTGCAGACCACCTCCTCTGCCTTCTCAGTGGATCTTCAGCTCCTGCTTTTCCTCAGAATGTTCTAATACAGAGAGGCACGGCCAGAGGAAGGGCAAAGTGATGCTGAAAGCAAATGTTGTCCGAAAAGAATATGTGCCTCTTCTGAACAAGCAGGATCACAGTGCTGGATGATCCTCCAGTCATCCTCCTTCGGTGGTGGCGTGGCTAGGAATGCCTCTGCCCATCTTCGGCTGCCAACTGTTCTGTCCCCCTTAGGCGCGTCCAAATAATGCACTTTAAGTTGCTGCTCTTGAAGTTGCAGCTAGTACAAAATGCAGTAGTTGCCCCATGTGACTCTGCCCGTCCGTTATGGTCCTTATCTGAACCTCTGCTTTGCGTTCCACTGAGACACATTGGACCCTGACATGAGACAGGAATATGTGGGTAACTGGACTACAGTTATGGAGTAAGCTGAGGGCCACTTGACTGGCCAGTTCTTTGGTAGGATTTAGAAAGAAGGACAATCCATTTTTATTTTGCCAAGCTTCAGATGGTTTTTAAAGGGCTGTTAATCCATTTGATGTTGTTTCCATTGTCTTAAATAGTTACATTGCTTTCCATTCATAATGTTTTTAAGTGTATGTTTAGGTGGTTTCTTGGTGGTCCTTTTGAGAGCTATAAGGCAGGATGTGTGTGTGTGTGTGTATAAACAAACAAACCATAAAGAAATAAACACACCAAGAACACTAGTCAGACTGTGACTGATGTATCCAGGATGATACAAAGAAGACAGTACAGATTGTACAGGAAGCATTAATGGGTTTCCTATTCCCTATCAAATGTGATATTGTGTGTTGTGGGTTTCGTTTAAAGGAATTATGGCACTCTGTTGAGCATGGCTGATGGTATTCTCTTTTTTCTTTTAAAAATACCTTTATTCTGCTCAGTGAAAATGTACTCTGCCCATGGTCAGTGATATTCAGCCTGTGATTGCAGAAATTTTTGAAAAGTGAGCTGAAAAGATGAAACAAGCAGGTGGATAGCCGTTTGAACTCTTTGCCTGGGGCCTAATGAGGCTGGTTGAAGGTGTGTATTTTGGAACAGGTGTAGGTGTCGGCAACATATGTTTGGTGGATCTCTTGGCAAAGAGCTCTGCAAGGTAGCAGCCCAGGAAACCACCTTGGAGCATTGCTAAGCTGTCATCCCGCCTTGCTTATTCGATGAAATACACAAACATCTGTCTGCCTGTTGTGAGACAAGGACGCAGCAGAGAATCCAGCCAGCGCAGTCACCTCCAATGGTCTTCCAATATAATTACCCTTCAAGGCTTGCTAAAACAACACTGGCATCATTGTCATAAATCTGGTGCTCCTGACTTTATGCACCGGGTGCTTCTTCCAGACCTTGTCAGCTACCCACCCATATGGAAAATACAGATGCTCATCAGACACATGTTCCATTTTACTAGCAATGAGCTGCAGCAAAGAGTGTGCGAATGAATACAAATGCGAATAACATTTTTTTTTTTTGCTTGTGAGATGATACAGGCTATGCTGGAAAAGCAAAGGTACACTCACCTACCAAAGGAGAGGAAGCTGTGGGTCGCTGCTGCAACATGAATTTGGTTTAAAAACAAGGCTGCCAGCACATAAAGCATTGCTCCTTAGACCAGTCTCATTTTGATACGTAACCAGCTTTTCCCAAGCGGGCCTCGTTCATGTGCAAGCTATTTGGGTTTATCATTATAACCCCATGGTCCATTGATCTTCGCCGTGCAGTAGGCATAGCCTAAATATCTTCAAAGCAGAGTACAAAAAGGCTCAGGACCTTGAAAGACAGAAACGTTTAAAAGAGGCTGGAGGATTAAAAAAAGAAAAGAAAGGGTTTGGACAAAGTCAAATAGAGCTTTAATTTTGGTTCTCTATCAGCACCCCCCCCCCCTTGCTATTTCAAACTGTGAGCCTGAAAGAAAAAGGTCTCTCTGAACTTTGAGTCGTTACATGGAGAGGTGAGTCCAATTAAACTCTCAGACACTCCCAGCACTGGAGGAGAGGCAAGGGCCCAGCCATAAAGGTCATTTGTGAATTTCACCCTCCACCCCCTTTCTTTTGCCAGGCTGTTGAATTTTTAGTTCAGACACATTGGCATTTAATTATTTATATATTTGATTGTAGCAGATAACAAATATCAGAACTGATTTCCTTCTTTGCATCTGGTGACATGTGTAACCAGCCTTCCATGTGTTTTGGATTTCAGTCCCAACTAGCACACCTCATAGTCAGGAAAGCTGGGAATTGTTGCTCAGAACAACTGGGGGACTCCGGTTTGGAGAAAGTTGGGTTACATTGCCCAGGGGGAGATGCCTGGGTGGAGAAAGTCAGCTGGAGAGCCTCCAGGGAGCTGGAGGACAGCCATCCATCTCTGGCCCAATGGGAAGTTTTGTGGATGCCACCTGCAGATGTGCCTGGCTCCTCCCAGTCCAGCTTCTCCAGCGAAGCAGGAAACCAGAATTTCGTAGGGAATATCACCCACAAGGATCTGCAGAAAATGAACAGCTCTAATTGAAATGATAGCAGTGTTTTCCCAGACTGCTTGACTTCTGTCAACTTAATTTGTCCTTTAATTTATGCTGCATTGTCATGGCCTTAGAAGTACATTTCTTGCAGATGGTTACAGAAATCCCCCCCTGTGTGTGTGTGTGTGTGTGTCCCCATGTGAGTTCAGAGCTGTGCTTACTAAACTGGTGCCTATCTGTTTGGCTTTAAAGGGGTGTGATGGGCAGGAGAGAGAGAGTCTACTTTTCTCACTACCTTAAGCACAGAAGGGAAAGGAGCTCATGCTCCACTGTTCCTTGCCTGTGTTACACTGCTTTAACCTGCCCTTTTCATGGCATTTGTTTTGTTTAAAAATAAGTGGGTAGAATATAAGGGCAGGAAAATGATAGGGTACTCCTGGAAGGAAGAGTGTATCTGCACATCAGATCACCTGAAAGATGCTCTGCACCAAAGGTCCTCTTTTAGCAGTCTCCTTCTGAGCCTCCCCATTTCATTCCGAGTACAATTCCATGCAAAGACCCATGATCTCCATGTACCAGGAAGGATCTGGTGAAGAGGGGCATCTTCTCCAGGTTCTGATGGCAGCCTTATTCAAACGCCAGAAGAGATCCATCACGGTCGATTAACGGGCAGTCTCCCTATCCAAGGAAGGTCAAGCAGAGCATGCCAGTCTTCCTGGAATACAGTTCTCCATCACAGGTAGTAGGAGGAGCTGGCTGCTCCTTGTGCTGGACAGGTACAAGCACGGCATGGTTCTGGAGCGCCTGCTAATGACAGAACTGGGCCAAGTGGGGCTGGATGGGGGACTTCGCTGCAGAGAATGATTCTGAAGCAATAATGGGCAATTAGCCCAAACAGGTGTGTGTGTGAGCATGTTGACTCAGTGGTCAGCAAGCAACCGTGCTATGATTTGTGCTGACATGGCCCAGCAATTACAGGAGAACCTGCTGCTTCCCCATCTGTTGTGTCCTGTCCTTTCCTATGTCCTCAGGCAGCTACTGGGTGGCCACAAGTCTCCCAGCCTGCATATGGATTCAGCTTCTGGTTCTGTGAACAGAGAGATGCAGCCCATCTTTTGGGTGTGGGGTGATTTCAGGCTATTTTATTACATGCCATCATCAGGTGCATCAGATATACTAACAGATATACCTACAAGATACTAACAAGAAAATGAATGCAGGCGGTTCAAAAAGACTATAAGGAAGAAAGGAGAGTCCAGGACAACAATTACATTTGCTAGCACAATGCTTCAACAAGAGTGATGGTGACAGTTCATATAAAGCACGGGATTCCTTCACTTC